AGTCATGTAAGATGATAAAAGATTTCTGGGAAATGATATATAATGAATTGGGGGAAATGTTGAAAATAACTTTTTCTAAGAAACCAGAAGCTTTTCTTTTAGGTATTTTAGGTCCAGAGATCCCAAAGGAGCAAACGAAATTATTCATGTACGCGACCATGGCAGTATGGATGCTGTTAGCCCAGAGATGGAAAGATGGCACAACTCTGACCAAGGAAGAGTGGCAGATAAAACTGATGAACTATGCCAAGATGGCATGCAGGAAGAATTAGAAACCAGGAAGAGACTGACTTAAACAAAGAATGGGGAAAGTTTATAATTCATTAAAAAAATTACTATAAATTTGAATTATGGATAAAGGACTTATAAAAATAGAGCTACGAAAGAGATGCAGAGGGGGAAATCATTATATGAAGATCCACAAAGGGGGTAAGGGCCTGGGGCATGTGAGTCTCAGGCTCCCCACCCATCCTAGCTGATGACACAAGAGGGTGGGCTTCCCTTCAGATCCACAGATCTCAGCAACTGCTTTGAAGCAACTGTAGCAGGAGTACTCTCACTAGGTGCAGAACTGACATAAAAGAAGACAAGAAACTTGAGGGAAATCTCTGGGTACCATGAATTAAATGGAAAGATGGCAATACATTTCAAATTAACCCACAGGTCTTCCCACGGCTTAGAGCAGGGGTCCCCAAACTATGGTCCACAGGCTGGATGTGGCCCTACAGGCTCATAAATCCAGCCCACCAGCTGAAATGCCCCTTCAGCGCGTGGGGACTGACTGAGTAGTCCCCGCGCACTGAGGTAAGCCCAGCACAGCATGGCATTTCCTTGAAAAGAACGTTCGTACGCGCACATTCTTTTCAACAGAAACGCCTCGCCGCATTTACCTCAGCGCGCAGCGAGGCTTCCGTGGCTTCCGCTCCTACAGCCAATCGGAAGCCGCAGAAGCCTCACCGTGCAGGGACTGACTGAGCATGTTCCCCATCTCCGCCACCCGTGGAAAGAGGAGGAAGGAAGGAAGAAAAAAGAAGGGAAGGGTGTTGATGGTGGTGGTGGAGGAGGCAGCAGTCACTAGTGACGTCGAGAAGCCATCAGCGTGCTGGAAAACGCCAAGCGCCGCTGGGGGGCAAGACGACAGTGGCAGCGGCAGCAGCAAGCAAGACTCCCGCCGGCAGTGCTCCCCGCTGGCTGCTTGTGTGCCCCGAGACTCATGCAAGCCGTCTTGCCCCGCCACACGGATCAGTCCTCGTGCCCAGGCAGGCAAAGCTGGGCTATGCCTCTGCTGCTGAAGAGCCGCAGCCCCATTGCCCTGCAGTAGGAGCAGGAGGGGTGGGCTGGTGGGGCAGCAAGACCACAGCCTTTTCTCCCCTGCCAGCGAGCAGAAACAACAGCAGCGGCAGAGCATTGAACTGCAAGGCTGCCTTTTGCAAAAAAAAAAGTGGGGGGAAATGGTTCCAGTTCAAGTGGGTGGAAACACCGGGCTTGCTCGCTCTTGCTACTGCTGCCAGACAAACAGGGCAGGCGGGCGGGTGCCTGTTTCTTTAAGCAGCAGCAGCACCTCTTCTGCTCACTCCTCCCCTCAGGGGAAGCCCAGCCCAGCCACCACAGCCAAACAGAAGAGGGAGGGGATCCCTGCCTTGGGGAGAGGGGAAAGCCCCCTGCAGGAGTCCGGGATGGCGAGCAGCAGGAGAGCCACCCACGGCCAGAGAGAGCGCCGCCTCACCCTGGCCATGCTGTCAGCTCTGGCGCGCCTACAGGGCAGCAATGTGGAGTTTGTGATGCACCAGGCGACAATGACAATCAGGTACAACTCGTCGCAGAGTGCTGTGGACATGAACATGGGCTGCTCCAGCATCCTCTTGCGCCACCACCTCGAGCTCACCTTCCACGCGCCCCACTTCTACCTGCACTGCCTGGGCAAGAACGGTGTCTTCGTCAACGGCGCCTTCCAGAGGAGGGGTGGCCCAGCCCTGCAGCTGCCTCCCCCAGCAGTGAGTTTGGAGTCATGGGGACGGGCGACACATGGGCAGGCTGCGCCATGAGGATCGGGGGGTAGGGAGACGCGCAGGCAAGTTGGGTCATGAGGATGGGGCTTAAGGAGACACGAGTGCGGGCTGGGTCGTGGGGATCTGGATTAGGGAAGCACATGCATAGGCTGGGTCGTGGGGAAGGGGGTTAGGGAAACGTGTATAAGCTGGGTTGTGGGGATGAGGGTGTGTGCAGGCAGACATGTGTATAGGCTGGGTTGTGGGAATGGGGGCATGGAAGGCCTGCATGTAGACTGGGCCATGGGGGTGAGGGAGATCCATGTGTAGGCTGGGTTGTAGGAATGCGCATTAGCAATATTGACCATCTCATTAGGCAAAAGCAGACCCATACTTCTCACTGAAATGCTTATAAGTTTATGCTGATTAAAATCATTCTTCATTTTAAATATTGTATTGGTTTTCCTGTTTTTTGTGCACTACAAATAAAATATGTGCAGTGTGCATAGGAATTTGTTCATATTTTTTTCAAATTATAGTCTGGCCCCAACAGTGTCTGTTTAAAAAGTTTGGGGACCCCTGTCTTAGAGTCAATTAAAATATCCAGGAAGGACATATGATATTGACATTCATGGGCCTCTAAACTCAGAATACATTCTAGGCTAGTTCCTCCCTACTATGTTGCCTTTCCCAGAGCAGAGTACCTTTCCCACAAAGATCTTTCAAACAAGTGACCCGCCAAATACATTCTAAGATGGTATAGGCCTATAAGGATAGCCCTGCATATTCTTCCTGGCTCTGAACTACCTTTCCTTAAAAATGTGAGCGTATTTGTATTATGTTCTAAACTATGGCATGTAGTCGGCTTAATGGTTGTTCCTATTTAGTTACACTATTGCTAGAATCGTCTCTAGGCTTAACTGCAGTCTTTTGGGATAGCTCACTGAAAATCAGGAGAAACCTTTCGTCTCAATATCAACCATCAGCTCCCTATGTGCTGTATGCTGCACACAAAATTAGTAAGCAATTTTATATTCATTCTCCAGGGTGCTGCAGTACATAAAAATCACCAGAGTATATCAAAGCTTTAGAAAAGAAAGGTATCTTAACACACACACAAAATATGGAAGTCAAATTGAGAAAAGAGCCCAATGCATTTTCTACAAAAGTCTGCCCTCTATTTTCCATCCAACATATTAAACAGTCTTTAAGCTGTTACCACACTTTAAACATATTACCATAAGAATACCATTCTATAAGATTGCAAAGAGTTATCCTCACCTTGTCTGCTCGTCCTATGAAGGAAGGTTTTCCAGCCAATCCCAGGCATAAGGCACATACGATACTTGATTTACCTGTTCCATTAGCTCCAACTATCATGTTTAGATGGGGTCCTGGAAGCACCACACAGGAATCATAAGTACTGAAAGGCAATGCCATTATAATTTAATGTTTAGAAAGCGGGAAATCAAGGAATCTGAATAATCAAATGCAGATTATTATAACACCAGTTCATTATATTTAGTTCGCCAATGTTTTTCAAAACTATCACAGTCCTTCGTGTTTTACCCCCCCCCATGAATATATTAGGAGTAAGTATCTGCAGACCCCATATTCTATACACTGATGAATTTTGAAATCAAAACTAATGTAAGAACTCTGGGTTGACAGAGATTGGAATGTGGCATTAATTCAACATAGCCTGTGACTAGACAACAGAATTACAAAATGTAATTTTGCCAGATAACCAGGGTCTTTCAGAAAACAGCAGCATCGGACATGGAAGGCAAAAAGATATTCACAGAAGTGGAGTTCTAGGAGGGACCAGAAACCTAGCTAATATTGACCCTCTGTATATTCCCTTTCCCTCGATGGACCTTTAGACCTTTCCCAGTCCGCTGTGCCACCGGGTTGCCTGCGCCTCCCCGGAGCCCATGGAGGGTCTCCTCGCGAGCCGGAGGGGCAGCGGGCCTTTGCTGAGGCTGGTCAGCCCCCCCCCCCGGGCCCAGCAGGGAGGTCCCGAGCGCCGCTCCGCTGAGTTCGGGGGCGGGGAGCGCTGCGGGTTTCTTCTAAGTCTCCACGTGCGAAGTTGTGCTGTTGGGCCTCGAGTCGAAGATCCACGAACCAAGTAGCGCGGAAAGAGACTTCCCCGCCCGCTCGGGGCTCCCGCCCTCCCTGCAGCCGAGACGGGAGATGGGGGGGGGTCCCGGAGGGCCATTTGGGAGGCAGGCGCTGGAGGCCCCCGCGTCTCCCGCTGCCGCCTGGTCAGGACGGGGGTCCTCCGGGGGGGGGGCTGCCCCCTCGCGGCGCCCACGAGCCCCGCCCCTCGCGGGGAAGCCCCGCCCACGAGGCCCCGATCCTCCCGCCCCGCGCGCGCCGCGCTCACAGGAAGTTCTCCATGTAGATCTTGAGGATGGAGCCCTCCACGAAGGGCGGCTCGGCCTCCGGCGGGGCCAGCGCGGCCAGCGGGGCCGTTCTTCGCCTCCAGGGGCGCAGGCGGCCGCTGCCCGGGCTCCCGCCTTCCGCTTCCTCCTCAGGGCTCTTCGCTCGGCGCTTCGCGGGCGTCGCCATTTTGCCGCCGCTCCCAGCGCTCGGGCACTGCGAAGATTTAGCCAGCCGGCGGCGCGCGCCCGCTTCCCATTGGTCGCCGCGGCTCTACGTCGGCTTGGGAACGCGCGTCATTGGCGGGGGCGACCTTCTGCCTCGGGAGCATTTCCGTTGGCTGAGAAAGAGCGGCCATGCGCACGGGGGGGGGGGGCAGTCAATGGGGTCAATTCCACGGGGCGGGCCGGCGGAAGCGGACGTTTTCATTGGGTGGGGAGCGACGGGGCGGGGCATGATATGTAAAGAGCCTCTCTGCGCGACGTCACAGAGGGCCAATAGTAGGCGGCCGGGTGCGGGCTCGGGCTGCGCGTGACTCGGCGGGAAGCGGTCGCGCCCGTCGTGTGACGTGTGCAGAAGGAGGGGCGCCCTTTGGCGCGGCGCCAAGACGAGGCCCCGTCCCGGGAGGGCTCTCGGGCTCCGGCTTCCTCCGGGCTCGGCGGAGGGCCTCCCCGCGGGGCCCCAGGAAGCCCTGCTGCTCCCTTGGGCGCCTGAAGGGCTCCTTCTGAGAGGGCCATGACCTCTCTGTCTCTCTTGACAAGGTGAATCCTTGCTTGGGTCCAGGAACTAGCTTCCCCTTCAGATAATTTTTAATTGAATAATTTTCTAATGTCTGAAGTAATTGAAGTTTGAAGTCTTGTTTATTCTGTTAAATTCTACTCCAAGAAGACCCATTTATTCTAAGTAGAACTCAACAATGCAGACATGTATGTACGAAGTATTTTTTTCTAATTGTGATCTCATTGACACCTCTAGATCAGGCACCTCTTAGAAATAATTAAATAATATTTTTGGGAAATGTTAATATTATTTATACTTCTAAATAAAATTACATTTTAGAATTTAACTTTGAAATTAAAGCAGGTCCATCATATGACATATTTTAAGCCCATGAAAAATACAATGAGATTGGTATTTTTAGTTTTGAAGGCCAAAACTGTCAATTTTTTTGAAATTTCAAACCCTCATAACTAAAAAAATGAGATTTTAAAAATTAACATTTTAGATTTTAACTTAGTTTTGAGCATTCAAAAAGTATACAAAATATTAAGAAAATTGAATGACACAAGATATATCTGATATATCTGACCATATCAGATCACTTGGTATGGAATGACCCATTAAATCATTTTAAGGCAGCAGTCACTTGAAACAAAGGGGAAAAGAAATGCAAATGCCACACACACAAAAACAAACTTTGGGACTAGAATAGAGAGTCCTAGATTAGTAGTGAATGTGGCTTACATTTTTGCTGGAATAAAACATGCTTTGTCTGTATTTGAATCTGCCTATTTCTGCCCCCCGGTTCTTTGTCCTCAAAGTGGATGTCTTTGAAAGTTGGTAGTCATACTTTGGATCCCGAATGCCCTGGAACTTGGGAAGTTTTGACTCCCAAATGCTGCAAACCTGGAAGTGATCCAGAACAGATTCCATTCAACTTCCAAGTTACGACTGTATTGCAGTGTAACACCTTTATGAAAGGATTTTTTAAATGGTACTAAGATACCTAACCCCTTGATATTAAAGTGTTTCTGTATCACACTATAATGAAATAACAGGGCAGTGTACAATGTTAAAACCCAACATGCTATTTTAGAAATAAAAATAATAGAGTAAAATAATTAACACAACTAGCTAAGCAACAACATAAACCCAGCCCCAAACCACTGTCATGTGACAACAGTGTCAGTTACTCATCACTGACTTTATAGTCTGTCATAGAAAGTTCTTGCAGTTTTCCTCTTTTCTGTGTTTCTCCCTCTCCTTTGTTCTTTTTCTCTTATCCAGTTTTTTATTCTTCTCCAACTGTCACACTCCCAAGTTCTTTTCCCTTGCTGTTTCCTAACTGCCCCCTTTCGACCTTTGATCTGCATTCTATTAACTCCATAGCAGCAGACATTCCTATAATCTTGTGAATTCTAGATATTCTTGAAGTCTCCACCAGAGGTCAGCATAATATTCATTACAGGAAAGAGAATTTTACAAGTCTATTGATGAGACATTTATGACTTAATTTTAAATACCATTTTGTTCAGAGGGGAAAAAAGATACTGGAATATTTTATCTGTCCACAAAGGCAGACATAGAAATATAAATGCTTTATCCCATGTTGATGGCCTTTCAGCTGATTCCCTGGTGGCCCACTGGAATGTAGAGTTCACCAGGGCTATTGACTGTTTGGCTCCAAAGCGCCCTCTCCAATTGCATGGAGCCCGGACAACCCTGTGGTTTTCCACGGATCTGAGGGCAATGAAACAATCGCTGAGACGGCTAGAGCGCCAGTGGCAGATAACTTATTCTGAAGCTGACCAGACACAGGGTAGAGCTCAGTGTCGAGTCTACCAAGTGGCAGTAGAGACGGCAAAGCAGACTTTCTTCACCGCCTCTATTGCATCTGCAGAAAACAGCAACAAGAGACTCTTTCAGGTGGTTCGCAATTTAGTGGAACCACCTGCTACATTGGGGCCCAGTACGGGCCACATGATCTCCTGGCAATGATTTTGCAAAGTTTTTTGCAGATAAAGTCGCTCAGATTTGGGATGAGGTAGACTCCACCGTGGGAGCAGGGCTGGGGCAGGAGAGTGCTAGAGGATGTGGACAGGCTGCTTGGACAAGTGAAACCAACTACCTGTCTCCTTGATCCTTGCCTTATAAAGCTAGCCGGGAAGGGCTGGGTGATGGGCTTCGCAGGGTAGTGAATGCTTCCTTCTGTGGGGGAGCTTTCCCAGACCCAGTGAAAGGGGTGGTTATCAAACTGCTTCTTAAAAAACCATCCTTAGATGCGGCCAATATGGCCAACTATCGCCCAGTCCCAAATCTTCCATTCTTGGGCAAGGTGATTGAGTGAGTGGTTGCTGAACAACTCCAGGCACACATGGAAGAAGCGGACCATTTGGATCCCTTCCAGTTTCAGGCCTCATCATGGGACTGAAACTGTCTTGGTCGCGCTGGACGATGGTCTCTGGCAGGCTAGGGAAAAAGGTGAGAGCTGTTTCCTAGTTCTGCTGGATCTCTCAGCAGTTTTTGAAACTATCGACCATAACATCCTTCTGGACTGTCTAGGGCTGGGGGCACTGTTATACATTGGTAAAAAGGTAAAGGGACCCCTGACCATTAGCTCCAGTCGTGACTGACTCTCGGGTTGCGGCGCTGATCTCACTTGTATTGGCCAAGAGAGCCGGCGTACAGCTTCCGGGTTATGTGGCCAGCATGACTAAGCCGCTTCTGGCGAACCAGAGCAATGCATGGAAATGCCGTTTACCTTCCCGCCGGAGCGGTACCTATTTATCTACTTGCACTTTGACATGCTTTCAAACTGCTAGGTTGGCAGGAGCAGGGACCAAACAACGGGAGCTCACCCTGTCGCAAAAGTAGTCCACAAGTGATGCCCCTGAGAGAGTCTTCCGCAATTTCCACCTCCGTGATGCCCCCTCAATTACCTCCTTCAAAGGAAACTGCGAATGTTACACCTCGGGACCCGCCGTCAGAAATGATTGAAGACCCGATGGGACGCATCAATAAAATAATCCGAATGTCGGATGACAAATCTGCGAGAGGGTTTACCCCGACGGACTCAATTTCCCCCTACCTGGGTATTTCTCTGTCAAGTTGTACCAAGAATTTCGAAATGAAGAGACTTCCTGTTCAGAGACCTACTTTCAGTGGATCATCCACGGTGTGCCAACAGTCGAACCAAATTGTTAAAACTTTAATTTGCAGGGCGCCTCACAGTTACCATCCTCCCAAAGTAAAATAACTGACTTTTTGTTACATCTTCTGTCTCTAACAGAGAGTCTGCCCCCCCTCCATTTTGACTGTTAAAAGAACAACATAGAAGTCCCCAGCTAGCAGTCCTAAGTTGGAACATTGCTGGCTGGAAAAGGAAAAGATTAGATCCCGAATTTCTGTCCTATATAAACTCTTTCCAGATAATCCTTTTGCAAGAAACATGGGAAGAAGATAAAATAGATATAAATGGCTTTGAACTGATATCACTTCCAGCTATCCCCTCCCAGAAAGGTGGCCGGTCCAGAGGCGGTCTTGCAATCGCCATATCGCTTAAAATGAGAGCTAAACTCTCGCTAGTTCATACCTTTCCTCCTTTTGCTTTTACTGGTCTGATTTCAAGTGAAAAATTCTCACTATTAATCACCAATGTTTATCTTCCTCCAGGTGGTCTGATATCAGACCTTCATTATAGATGGGATTCTCTGGAAGATCATTTATTGGCATGCTATGTTAAGTACCCTAATATTCCATCGATAATGGGTGGTGACTTCAATGCACGTACAGCTGCCAACTGGAATGGGATAATTAAGGCCAAGTGGTGGGTATCTCCCCTACCCAAAATCTGATTTAATCTCTTTCACATCAAGAAGATCTAAGGACAACAGAGTGAATGAGGCGGGAGTCCTTCTTTATCAATTGGCCATTCGTATGAATTTGAACATTCTAAATGGCAACTGCCCTCCGGACGTGCCAGGTGAATTCACTCATTTGGGCACAAAATCAAATAGTGTCCTAGATTATCTTCTAGTCTCAGAAGACCTATTTTCAAATTTCTTTTATCTCAAAGTAGATAATGTACAATCCAGTGATCACCTACCTCTAGCGGCCAAGCTAACGCTTGACTGGCACCCGGTTAGCGGAACACACCCAATTCATGTAGGTTTAAATGCCACAGCTCAAGTAAGAGGCATTAAATGGTCCATGAAACAGGCCCAAAAATATGCAGAATTCTTCCAGAGGAATAGCTCCGAATCCCTTATTGTTTCATTGGCGGAGCTGTCTGAACCAAATAGGATACTGGAGTGGTTCTCCCACTTCTCTGCAGATTTAACTAGTTTCTTTACGATGCCGGCTCACCTCGCTAACCGTGATCAACCCAGGTTCGGTGCACCTTGGTTTGATGCCAAATGTAAGCAAGCTAGACTCTCTCTCTGTTGTATCTACAACAGATATAAAGCCTCTGGAGCTGAAACTCTCCCCCCAGAGTACTTGCAGGCCAAAATTGCTTACAAACAGGCTCAGAAGTCAGCCAAGCACGAGTGGCAGCTAAGACGTTGGCAAGCGCTGATTGCTGCCTCTAAGCTTCGCAGCTCTCGCGGTTTTTGGAATTTAATCAACAAAAGATCGAGGAAATACCCATTGACGGTTATCCCAGCCCCGACATGGGAACAATTTCTAAGAAAATATTTCTCCCAGACAGACATCTCTAACATCCAATCTGATACTCTCTCAAGTCACTTGCCCATATGGCCAGATACTGACCCGGAGGAAATAGTAGATTTAATTGCCAAACTGAAAACTGATAAAGCCCCAGGGCCCGATCTGATCCCGGCGGAAGCTATTAAACAACATCCAATATGGTGGGCTAAAATTCTTGCAAAAATCTTTGATGCAATCAATGCCACGGGCCAGATACCTACATCATGGAAGGAGTCCATCATAATTCCTATATATAAAAAAGGACCACCAGAGGACCCAGGAAACTATCGTAATATCAGTTTATTATCAATCATCGGAAAAATCTACACTCGCTTCTTGCTAACCAGACTAACCCAATGGGCCGAAGATTCCAATCTGATAGGCCATGAACAGGTCGGGTTTAGACCAAATCGCGCTTCTATTGACCATGCTATAATTCTATATCATTTGGCGCGGAAATATTCTTCCCCTACTCATGGTCTTCTATGTGCCGCTTTTATAGACCTGAAGGCGGCTTTTGACAGTATCTCTAGAGAGCTGTTATGGGAAAAACTGGCAAAGTGGGGCATAGAAAAAGGCTGTTGTGGCTATTGATTAAATTACATGAAGGGACGGCTGCTAGGGTGAGGTTAACACCTGAGGGCGATCTAACAAACTCAGTTCCAATAAACAAGGGGGTACGACAAGGGTGTATCCTTGCCCCCTATCTTTTTAACCTCTATATTAGTGACATGAGGACGCCCCTAGCTGAGGCCCAAACCTCCATTCATGCACCCAGGCTTGCAGACTATCGCTGCCCCTTATTATTGTACGCTGACGATGCGGTGATCCTCTCTTATTCTCGAATCGGTTTGAGGAGGGCCCTTAAGATTTTTGCATCATATTGCCAAACAAATTTACTCACTATTAACCATTCCAAATCTAAAGTCCTAATTTTTCCAGGAGTCGTAAACTGTATAGATGGGAACTTGAGGGAAGCCAACTGAACAAGTTTACAAATTTCAATATCTAGGAATTTACTTCCAGTATAATATGGGATGGAAAGCGCATATCACATATTTACAAAACAAGGTGAAAGCCCTTATCTACGCTATACTACGCTTCTTCTTTACTGAGGGGGCTATGCATGTTCCATCCGCCTTAAAAGTTTATAGTGCAAAAGTGGTTGCAACTATGGCCTATGCGGTCCCTTTATGGGGCGTCTTTGTAAACCTCTTGCCTCTGGTGACATTGCAAAATCTTTTTCTAAGACGCCTTTTGAAACTACCCTCCTGTGTAAGCAACTCTGCCATTCGCTTAGAACTTAAGACCCCCTCCCTTGAGATTCTGATGTGGAGACATGCCTTTAATTATTGGCTGTCCCTTTGGCATAAATTGCCAAACTACCATCTTATTCAGTGCCTTTGGAGAGATGAATTCACCAGCCCATGGGCAACAAAAATCCATTCCAAACTGTTGTCTTATGGAATCTCTCCCTCCGATATACTTAATTTAGATCTAATTACAGCTAAAAAGGTCATCAAACAAAGATTGGAGGATGTAGATTTACAACAAAATCTTACCACAGGTGGAGGTACATGTTCCCCGATATATCAGGGCATTACATCTATGTCCCAGATACCTCGATATCTGTCTACTTTATCGGCTGCGTCGCATAGATTCGCATTTGTTAGAGCCAGATTTAATGTGTTCCCCTCAAATGTGCTGAGCAATAGATTTTCTAACGGTAAAATCTCTGTTTTGTGCGCATGTGACAACAAATCGATAGAATCCCTTTATCATATCTTGTTTAATTGCCCCTTATACAATGTTCCCCGATCAAGGATCCTGAGTTCAATCATCCTGGAAATTGCTGCTAAACCACCTGAATTACATCTAGCTTATCTACTCCAGGACATTGACTCTTATAGAACTTTACAGGTTGCTAGATTCCTGATCTCAGTTCTGTCTTATAAAAGACTTCAGGGAATGCTGCATGACTATTAAAAATTCAGTAAACTCTATGCACCATCTTTATCTTCAAGGCCATAACACGGTACAGTTAGAGATTATGCGTTGAAATATTTTAGTTGATATTTTAGATTGTAAAATGCTATTGATTTTATCTATTGATTTTTATCTATTGATTTGTTTTACCTTGTGGGCTTATAGCCGAATAAAGTATTATCTATCTCACCCTGTCGCAAGGATTCGAACCACCGACCTTCTGATCTGATCAGCAAATCCTAGGCTCTGTGGTTTAACCCACAGCGCGACCCGCGTCCCTTACAGTGGTTCCGCTCCTTCCTCCTGGGCCGTGTTCAGAAAGTGTTAGTGTTCAGACTCCTGGGCTCTCACTTGTGGGGTGCCTCAGGGTTCTGTCCTCTCCCCATGTTTTTCAATATCTACATGCAGCCGCTGGGAAACATCATCAGGGGGTTTGGGCTGGGTGTTCATCAGTATGCGGATGATACCCAGCTCTACCTCTCTTTCAAATCAAAACCAGTGAACGCGGTGAAGGTCTTGTGTGAGTGTCTGGAGGCGGTTGGCGGATGAATGGCGACTAACTGAGGTTGAATCCTGACAAGACAGAAGTACTGTTTTGGGGGGACAGGAGGCGGGCAGGTGTGGAGGACTCCCTGGTCCTGAATGGGGTAACTGCCCCTGAAGGACCAGGTGCGGAAAAAAGCTACTGTTAGCGCCTCCAGCAATGGCGGAATTCCTCTGATCGGGAGGAATCCGCTCCGTGGAAATTAGGGTCTGGCCACTTGTGGACGTGGGATTCGGCTGGCACCTTTTGCGCCTCCCCTACTCTCAGGGAAACCCGGTTTCGGGGATCCGGAGCGACGTGGGGTGAGTGGCGCGGTGCTTCGAATCGACTGCTTCTTTCACGGAGTGAAGCCGCATTGCTGTTGCCGGAGAGCGCTGACTTTTTCCTGTGGACAATTTGATCTTAAAACAACTACCCGTGAGTAGAACGGAAAATTGGACTCTTAAATGTCTTAATTTGGCACTGAAACGGGGAGGTTTCAAACAGGAAGTCCGCCTCCCCCTTTTGTAAATAGATTGAAGCAAAGAGGCTGCAAGCTAAAGCCTTTCATAAAGGATTAAACTTCCATCGGTTAAATCATCAAACCCCCCTTGGAAGTAGGAGAAGAGGGGGGAATTTTAAGATCGCGTAAGCCTGCAGGAGAGAGTGAAGAAAGTCAAATTACCACCGCTCTGAACCTGGAAACGGGCTGCTAGTAAGGTTGAAGTTTTGGATATGCTCATTGACTGTGAATAGATCGTCTGCTGACAGTAGGTTAAAGAAGAGAAATACATTGTTTCCATTGTCTCCTTCTGCATTTAAAAAGGAGTAAAAGTAACTGAAAATTGAAACCCACTTTATTGTTTGAACTGTGCTTAAAAGGATTGATACAAATAGAAATTGTTTCCCCTAGAGGAAGCCTTTGAAATTGTTACAAGAGCTGAGCTGGAGGAATTTCCACCTGCAAGATAAAACTGTGAGAATCTGGGATTGACCTTGGACCGTTAAGAATGTTGACAGAAGAAGCCTTAGTGGTTGCATTTTGTAAGATTAATGATTCACTGGAACAGCTTCATAAGAAGACGGATGCGAGGACTATAAAAATTGATAACTTGGAACAAAAAGTGACTAATTTGGCACAAAAAGTCAATATTACAAGATACAAATCCGTTTATTGTGAGGACCATGCCTGTACACAAACATTAACACAACAATAGTTAAAAGATATTAAAATTCATTACATACTACGCCAACAAAACCTTCATCCCACAAAATAGAAAGAGAGGGAAAACGAGCAACGAGTTAAACAGACGATGAAGGGGTCTTTACATTGTCATCCATAAGTCTTTCCCTGGCTTTCATGGCCTTCATCACAAAAACCGCTACCACATGGGTAATACGTGGGTTTGCATCAACTAACAAAAATTTTACTCTATCTTCAGGATTGGTTATAGAGTTGGGTATAATTTGCAGCAATGCGTCTCTAAAGCTCGAGTAGATGGGGCAATAGAGGAGGTAATGTGTAAGATCCTCTTTAATTTTCATAAGGCAAGGGCATAAACGATGTTCTACTGGGGTTTTTGTGAATCTACCGGTCAGATATGCAGTTGGCAGTGTTTGAAACCGTGCCATAGTGAAAGCTCTCCGAAGGGTGGGGTCAGTGATCTCCACCAAGTAGTTGGCACAGATTTTGACTGCTTTTACTCGGGGAAACCAGTAGGAAAACCCAGAGTTTTTTATCTTTGTGGAGTCCAAAAGGCGTCTTTTCAAAGATCCATTCCCGAACTTTATCAGGGCTCCACAATTTAAGGGTATTAAACTCAGGTAGATTGTATCTGGATAGGATATCTAGTAGGTTTTTATGCCAAGTAGTATTATTTTGTAATAATACAAAGGCTTGTTTAGCCAATAAGGTGTTCGGGGCATCTGTGAGGTTGGTGAAAAACGCAGGAATCTTAAGTGGGCCCTGGCAGACACAGAAGGTAATCCTACTTCCACTCTTAGGAGAGCTGCCGGAGTACTCTGAGGGAGGCCTAGAATTCTTCTGAGGTAAAAATTTTGGAAGATTTCAAGCCGTTCTAACAGCTTCTGATTCCATCCCCAGAGTTCTACTCCATATAGCATCTGGGGAATCACTTTTCCAACAAAAGCTTTTAATGCCGGGATCACCAGTTGCCCTCCCTCGAAGCAAAAAAGCTGAGCAGGGCACCGATTGTCCTACGTGTTAGAAGGGCTACAGTCTTGAAGTGGGCAAGCCAGCTAGATGTAGCTTGGAAAGTGATACCAAGATATTTAAAAAAAAGACACTGTTCAATTTTGTGTTCATCTAAAGACCATCTAAATGTGTGGCGAGCTCTAGTAAATACCACAATTTTTGTTTTGTCATAATTTATCTTTAGAGAGTTTTGGGAACAATAAGCTGCGAGCCCCTCCAGCATGCTATGTAGGCCCCTTCGAGTAAGTGCCATGACAGCCATGTCATCAGCATATAGTAATATATTCAGGTGTTTGCCTTCCAGGGCAGGAGCTGATGACTTATACTTTGCCATATGTTGAACAATGTCATTTATATAGAAATTAAAGAGGAACGGCGCTAACAAACAGCCCTGTTTAACCCCTTTCCCCAGTGGCAGTGGATCAGTATAGTTGCCTGACATCCCAGTTCTGATTTTAACTGTGGTGTCTGAATGTAACTCTCTAAGTATTTTGAGAAGTCGTCTATCAATATCTGTTTCATATAATTTTTGCCATAATTTGTCCCTACAGATTGAATCAAAAGCGGATGTGAGATCTACGAAAGCCACAAAAAGTTTGCTCTTATGTACCTTTGTATACTTATCTATCATTGTCTGTAGTACCAAACAATGGCCTGTTGTACTATGGCCCTTTCTAAACCCTGCCTGTTCCGGATTAAGCAGGTTAGAGTGGTCAGCCCAGTCAACCAGTTTATTTAGCAGGTAGCGAGTGTAAAGTTTATACACAATGTCCAGGAGACTTATGGGGCGATAGTTTGAGGGGTCTTGGGGTCTCCCTTCTTATAGATGGGGGCTACCAGGCTCAGTTTCCAGTTTTCTGGGATTTTGCATATATCATTTATTACCGTAAAAAGTTGGGCCAAAATAGCAGCCCACCACTGGGCATTTAGTTTAAATACCTCAGGAGGAATCATATCCTCACCGGGAGCTTTGCCATTCTTGAGTGTTTTAATTAGCTGTAAACATTCTGATTCGGTAACAGGATCCCAGCCCATTAATAGATCGTTTTTAAGAGGAGGAAACTGGCTCGGTTTAGCAATGTTTGGAGCTGTATATAGCCGGGAAAAGTGTTGGTACCATAAGTTAGATGAGATACTGTTGGTTACAATTTTCCCTTTGGGTGAAACTCCTGGGCAATTATTTCCCAGAACTTTTTGTCATCCCGCAATTTGATCGCTTTGTCAAGTGCCTCCCATTGTTCCTTTCTGTAGAGGGATTTCTTAAATTTTAGAGTATTTTTATAATGAGAACGCCACCTGTGCAGGTTTTCCAATGAGGACAAGGTCCCTTCCTGTTTTACCTTATTTTGTAGTTTCCTGAGCAAAGATCTTAGATTCCTACAGTCTTTGTCAAACCAGGCCCTCGAGTTGTTTTGTTTTTTGGGAGGGTTGGAATTCGTGAGTAGTGGGAAGAGCGACTCTGAGACCTGCTGAAATGTTGAAAAGGGGTCAGAAATGGATGAGATGCACTGGTCTCTCAAGGCCAGTAAGTCTGATGAATGCAGGTGTAATTTGATTTTAGATTCCAGGTCGCTGTTCCATTTACGCCTACGAAGGGCCAGAGTTGGAGGTGGGTCTGCACAGTGATTGCGGTATTGCGGATCCTCCACACCACGGGGAATTAGTGAAATTGATATAGGAAGATGATCACTCTCAATTCTATTGAAAGTCCTGAAGCCCTGTGACCTCTCCAAGAGTTTTGGGGAGACCAGGATATAATCAATAACGCTCGCACCTCTGGGTCCAAGAAAAGAAAAGAAACCCCCTGACCTGTCCATATGGGTACCATGCAAATTATACAAATTATGTTTGAAGGCAGTCTCCATTAATGTAATGCCTGCCTTATTCAAGACCTTATCGTCTGAGGACCAGGGAATAAACCAATCTGCCTCTGGCAGGAACTGAGATTTAGAGCAGTACGTATTTATGTCATTTCCTATCCTGGCGTTGAAATCACCTGCCAGCAGGATATCCATGCCAGGGAATTCTAGTTCAGCCTTCTCCAAACATAGCTCTAAATCTTCCCAGAATTGTGACGACTGGGAAGGGGTGCCTATGGGAGGGATATATATATTAAAGCAAAGGAAATCTCCTCCTTCACTGCTAGAAATAAGTGAGATTTGTAAATTGTTACTCTTCACCCACTGCTGTTGCCGGGCCTTGCATTTTAGCTTGGTAGAAACAAAAGTGACTAAACCACGGATGTGAGGACTATAAAAATTGATAACTTGGAACAAAAAGTGACTAATTTGGCACAAAAAGTCAATATTAATACAGAAATTATTCAGGAATCGATACAGGGATCTATTTTGACATGGCAAATTGAGGGGAAGGCGGGGGAGAAAGTTTTTGCTGTGGAACCTAAAGTGGCACAAGTGGAGAGGGAGAGAGCCCCAGCCTTACAGTTGCAATTTGATTATTATAAGTTGACGCCTTTCAAGATTGAATTTAGAGAAAGTCAGACTTTTAGGATTAGGATTCTCCGCTTTGACTGGAGAAAGAAAGTTGGATAGATCCCCTCATGCAGGGGTTTATTGACCTTTGGGACCTGGACTTGGGTCAGGAGGAGACTGGAGTTGTGGGGACTGCCAGACTTGGAGGAACTTTGAAACACGACTGGAAATATCTTTTGAATTTCAGTTCTAACTATGGAGATTTGGCCGACTTGTCGAGAAGGAATAAAAACATTGCTAGATGGGAATTCCCCGGAGACCTACTTTTCAGCATCAAAGGAAGGAAAATAAAAACAAGATCAGGAGAAGACAAAGTAAAGTGCATGTATAAATATGAAGAAGACTTGCAGAAGGGACCTGGAAAAGAGTTAAGAGCCTCGGACAGAAGATCACCAGGTTGATGGGCTATATGGAATTGACGGAAATGACTGGCTGAACCCGAGACCAGGGAGAAGAGACGGTGGAAGAATATTGGAAAAAGCTTAAATTTTTATATATGGAAATAATGTAAAATTAATCAGTGTTAGAAAAATGTTGGAAGGGAATTATACGGCTTTAGAAATGTTTTAAGGAATTAAGCATAAATAAGTATTATAGTATTAATGGAAAATAAGGTTAAAATATGTTAAGATAATTACATGACAGAAAATAGAGAAAGATGGAAAGGATTTGCTGAAACAATTAATAGAAATGGAATACAAAAAGGGAGGTGAGAGGAGGTCGATGAAACAAGGGAATGAAAGAGAGGATATTGAGATGGTATGATGTGTGTTTCTTTCTTCAATTTTATTTGCTTTTGTTTAATGTGTTAATGTTAATGTTGTGTTCTGTATTGTTTATATATTGTATTGTATTGTTTTCTCTTTTGTATTTCTTCTTTTCTTTTTTCTTTTTTCCCCTTTCTTTTGTAAGGTTTAAAAGCAATAAATATATATATATATATATATTTAAAGGACCAGGTGCGCAGCCTGGGAGTCATTCTGGACTCACAGTTGTCCATGGAGGCACAGGTCAATTCTGTGTCCAGGGCAGCTGTCTACCAGCTCCATCTGGTACGCAGGCTGAGACCCTACCTGCCTGCAGACTGTCTCGCCAGAGTGGTGCATGCTCTAGTTATCTCTTGCTTGGACTACTGCAGTGCGCTCTATGTGGGACTACCTTTGAAGGTGACCCGGAAACCACAACTAATCCAGAATGCAGCAGCCAGACTGGTGACTGGGAGCGGGCACCAAGACCATATAACACCGGTCTTGAAAGATCTACACTGGCTCCCAGTACATTTCCAAGCACAATTCAAAGTGTTGGTGCTGACCTTTAAAGCCCTAAATGGCCTCGGTCCAGTATACCTGAAGGAGTGTCTCTACCCCCATCATTCTGCCCAGACACTGAGGTCCAGTGCCAAGGGCCTTCTGGCGGTTCCCTTGCTCCAAGAAGCCAAGTTACAGGGAACCAGGCAGAGGGCCTTCTCGGTAGTGGCACCCGCCCTGTGGAACACCCTCCCACCAGATGTCAAAGAGAAAAACAACTGCCAGACTTTTAGAAGACATCTGAAGGCAGTCCTGTTTAAGGAAGTTTTTAATGTTTAATAGACTATTGTATTTTAATATTCTGTTGGAAGCCGCCCAGAGTGGCTGGGGAAACCCAGCTAGATGGGCGGGGTATAAATAATAATTTATAATTATTTTTTATTATTATTATAAATGTATTTGAGTTAATTTAGTTAAGAAAAGAAGTCACTAGTGCAGAGAATGGCTGTAGCAAAACCAATAGAAAAATATATCAAGGATCAAAAGGATAGTCATTAGAAATAGTGTATAAATGGATGGAAATGTATTGGAAAGGCCCAAATTCACATAAACATTTTCTGTATTTGACCAAGATGCTCACCAAGTTGTGCTGATGAACACATAGTTTAAGAAATTCTCAGTTTCTTTGTAAGCTTATTGCAGATAACATAGGAATGAAAAAGCACTTAGAAAAGGAAGAAGTTCAGTAGAAATAATTCATTAGACACTTCACCTGGTTTTGAAACAAACTCCATTGTTTCATCTTAATTCAAAATATCATAGCTTACAGCACAATCCTATGTATATCTATCTACTTAAAAGTAAGTCCTGTTGAGTTCAGTAGTACTCCAGATAATGGTGCCTAGAATCATAGAGTTGGAAGAGACCACAAGGGCCATCGAGTCCAACCCCCTGCCAAGCAGGAAACACCATCAGAGCACTCCTGACATGTGGTTGTCAAGCCTCTGCTTAAAGACCTCCAAAGAAGGAGACTCCACCACACTCCTTGGCAGCAAATTCCACTGTCGAACAGCTCTTACTGTCAGGAAGTTCTTCCTAATGTTTAGGTGGAATCTTCTTTCTTGTAGTTTGGATCCATTGCTCCGTGTCCGCTTCTCTGGAGCAGCAGAAAACAACCTTTCTCCCTCCTCTATGTGACATCCTTTTATATATTTGAACATGGCTATCATATCATGATAGCCTATGATTGGAGCATCGGCCTTTGAAGTTACGATGGTGACTTGGAAGCCTGACCATTTTACATCTGACCAGGCAAAATCCTCGTTGCAAGATGATATAGACCACCAGCTTACTGAATGATTTACTATATATAAGCTGCAGTAATGGTTCTCTGTATCCTACCAGTCTCCTTTTGTCAAGCAGTACAAGAGATAGGAACTGTTCTCTTGAATAGGTGTTGAGACATGACCAGTGATGCCACCCAGAACCAGCAAATGAGTAAATGACCATTTGAACTAAGAGGAGCCCAGACCTTAAAGTTCTTGCCTTCAGCTCCTGAAAATAAGTAATATTTGCCTGACCAAATACTGCTTTATTGTCGGTTGGTGTGGGAGAGTGTGTATTTTAGAATTTTTAAATTGTAAACAACTTTGAATTCCTTGGCAAAATAGCAGGAAGTACATAAATAAAAAATAAACTATAAAACTCAGCAGTGCAGCAAAACTGTTAGGGGGACTGGATGAGAAAAGATGACACATGCCAGCAGTTATAACATCTCACACTGCAGTCATGCTCCTCCTCCCCATTGCGGCTGACCTTTCCCCACTTGCTGTATATGCTGGGTCCAACTTTAGCTGCAGTAGTACAAACCTAAGCAGGAGGCAAGGGAACTCTCAAAGTCTTGGCCCACTACTGCTTTCAATGTACATTCTAGCCCAGAAACTATTTTCTCAGGAGCATCTTCAATTTAAGATTCTGAGAGGTCTCACCTAAGATCAGAATAATTACTATTATTAAATTTCTATACTGCCCTTCATGTGAGGATCACAGGGCGGATTACAGTATTAAAATACATACCATGGTAACAAACAAAAACAATCCCAACCCTCCAGTTTAAAAGCCCACAGATTGTTTAATTAGGCAAAGGCCTGGAGAAGAGGGATGATTTTGCCTGAGCCTCCCTGGAAAGAGCGTTCCACAAGTGGGAAGCCAGCACAGAAAAGGCCCATTCTCGTGTTGCTAACTCGGACAGCTGCTCCAGATGGATACAATGGTTGATGGTACGAAAAGCTGCTGAGAGGTTGTGAATTTACAAGGACCTATTTACCCTGTCTCTCCTAACAAAGGTCATCATACAAGGTGACCAAAGAAGTTTCTTGTCCAAAACCAGGCCGAACCCAGACTGGAATTGATCTAGCAAACCAGTTTCTTTCAGTAGCTTGTGGATCTGCTCTGCAACCACTTGCTCAAAAACCTTGTACAAGAAGGGGAGATTGGCAAATGGCCAATAATTACTTTGATTTTCTAACTCCAGGGAGGGTTTCTTGCCCTAAGACAGGGGTCTGCAACCCGCGGCTCCGGAGCCGCATGTGGCTCTTTTACACCTTTGCTGCGGCTCCGGGGCGGATACTAGCGAGGGGAGGAGGCGCATTGTGCGCCCCGACACTCCCCACTGTGGCAGGCGCTGTACTGGCTGTGACGTCACATGGGGCGGTGCGTGCGTTAGTCACGCACCGTCCCGACGTCACCTTCCCGCCCGCCCGCCCGCTACATTGTAAGGGGCATGTACGCTGGTCACTGTTTTGAAGGGGAGTGAAGAACACACACACAAAAAAGGTAACTTGTTAATTTAATGTTTATTTTTATGAGGAGGAGTAATTCTGAGGGGTCAAACAAAGAAATAATAAAAAAGTGACAAAAAAGTTATTTTTATAATGACGAGTTTTGCGGCTCCCAGTTTTTTCTCCTTCGGAAACGGGTCCAAGTGGCTCTTTTTGTCTTAAAGGTTGCAGACCCCTGCCCTAAGGGGACCCCAATTCCTTTCTCACACTGTCTTTGGCCACTTGCCCGCTGTCATCTTCTAAGCCCAATCCTGAGCATTGGTCAAACGGAAGGGAAAGTTGAATGTTTAGGCAATGGCAGCTGCTGTTGCCTTTTTTTTTTTCCTTTTTCTTTAGATGGTTGTTAGGTAATTTTATGTAATTTTTACTACTCTGTCCTAGGATCCAGTGGATTCTAATTTCAGTTTTTTATTTTAATTTTTGGATTTTCTTCAATTATCGTTGTTGATATTCCTTAGTGATAGTTTTATTGTTTTATCTTTTTTGTAAACAACCCTGAGTGGTTGGGGTGGTTTTTTTACAATCAAGCAATGCATTTATTTATTCATCAATTTCAGTGCTGTGGAAATAGATTACAAGCTCACTCAACAGATCGTGCCCTTGCACTTCTCCAACTACAAGAGTTCTCTGTCCTGAGACACAGATATTTAAGAGGGGAGATACAGATGGGAGAATGAGAGTTTGATTGTGAGAGTTGCCTTCTCTCCTGCTTCTGAACACCAACTAACAAAATGTGCTAAATATATTTAATTCCAAGTAACAAATCACTTCCTTGAACCATTTGTCCTCCTCTCCCAGATTGTTTTCACCTGCAATCTAAAAGAAAGGAGAGGGATGGCCAGGCAGTTGTGGTACCATTACAGAATAAGCCCTGTTTCCCTCATTTCTGTTAGTGCAATTTAAATGTTGGTGTTAATTGCACTTCTTGTTCTTTTTCGGTGATCACTCGTAGCTGAGTAAGATTGTCTTCCATAAACACGTTTTCCAAAAGTGAGTCTGTAAGTGGCTGTGGAGGCCAATTCTGGATCCGCATGTCCTTCCACAGTGGGGATATTGGTTTCCGGACAGAAGTTGATCACGGTGTGGATTTGCCAAGTGTGCCTTCCTCTTAGCACGTTTCTCCCTTGCGTCCTGAGTTTGAGTGTCTTCAAAGCCCATGACACCTTTGGTAAAGGCTGTTCTCCAACTGGAGCGCTCGCAGGCCAGTGTTTCCCAGTTGTTGGTGTTTATACTGTAGTATATTTTATACTGTAATATATTGAGCACATTATTATTATTATTATTATTATTATTATTATTATTATTATTTGCCTTGAGACAGTCTTTAAACCCCTTTCGTTGACCACCAGCATTACGCTTTCCATTTTTAAGTTCGGATTAGAGTAGTTGCTTTGGAAGATGATAATCAGGCATCCGCACAACATGACCAGTCCAACGAAGTTGATGTTGAAGAATCATTGCTTCAACACTGGTGATCTTTGCTTCTTCCAGTACACTGATATTAGTTTGCCTGTCTCCCCAAGTGATGTGTAAAATTTTTCAGAGACACCGTTGATGGAATGCTTTGGTTTGCCTCTTGTGTTGCCTTGCCCCATGTCTGATTTCTGTTCAGGGTTAGGACGCCAGCTGGGGTGGGCCTCTTGAAACAGCTCAAGGCCACAGGCTTCTGGCATGACTCATCCCCCCACCCCCGCTCTCTTACCCAAAGTGTGTGTGTGTGTGTCTTACATATAACCAGCAGCATCCAGCAGTTTTGTATGGATCTCTTTCCAGTTTGAGTCTCTTTACCATTTTTACCACAACCTTTTAAGACCAAGTTACT